AAAAACTTCCCTGGTATTGAAGTAGGTATAGAAAGGCTTATATAATGTTATTATTTCAAAATTCAGCAGAAAAAGAGATCAGAACTTTTGCTATATACCATTCATGAAAAAACACTATTCAATTATGTGGTTGTTTTTTTTTTTTTCTCTTACCCTCTCCAACCCTCCTTTCCTTCCTTAATTATTTGGCTCCACCTATGGTTTTAATCTTACCAAATCAGAAATTGGCTTCATTTCCTTTTATATGTTCTCATGCTTAAGAACAAAACCACAAAACCTCCACTTCTGATCACAATGAGATATTCCCAATCTCTTCTCATTCACTTTCTATTATTCTAATTCAATAGGATTCTAATGTAACTTGGCAACAGCAAATATTTATGGGGTAAAGAAGCAATTGGCACAAACAGAAAGAGATGTCTAGGGCAGTGGTTTTCAACCTTCTGGCCCTTTAAATACAGTTCCTCATGTTGTGACCCAACCATAAAATTATTTTCATTGCTACTTCATAACTGTAATGTTGCTACTGTTATGAATCATAATGGAAATATCTGATATGCAGGATGGTCTTAGACGACCCCTGTGAAAGGGTCGTTCGACCGCCAAAGAGGTCGCGACCCACAGGTTGAGAACCGCTGGTCTAGGGAAAATGACCTAAGAATTTAGAAGTGATGACTTCTGTGGTTAAGAACAAAAGTCTGGTGTTTAGTTTTGCTTTGCCATACAGAAAATAGGTGTTGGTATTCTTACTCAGAATACAAAACTTAAATTCCGTGCTTAGGTTCTAGAATGTCTAAAGTATGGCTACCAAATTTATGATTTCTCAAAAAAAAAATCTGGCACTTAGTCTTCTGTTCATATTCAAAACCAAGAAATAACTGTATTCCTGAAATATGTCAATTTTCTATATAAGGAATTCACTAATTGATAATCATTGATGATGAACACTCTCAGTTCTGGGTTCTCTTTGGGGGCATGAGGTTGTTACACTAATAGCCTCCTGGGACAGAAATGAAAACAGGCCACGGAGAGATGTTCTCATTCTCCTTTTCTGTCATCCTCTCCTTCCTCCTCAGGATCGGGAGGGAGATGCTGGCTTTGGCGTGTACTGCTGAGCCCTTGAATAGATGCCCACTCCCTTGGACAATGGCTTTCAGTGGTGCCCTACCCCTCCCCTGGTCCCCAGCTTCCTGTCTCACCCCCTCCCACTCCATCCTAGGAAAACATAGGGGACCAAACAAACACAGTGTAATTATCTGATGTAATTTGCTTGAATATGGGCAAGATATTCCCAATCTTTTACCATTCACCCTCTCTTATGTGTAGGAAAGACTTACTCTAATTCTGCCTGTCCTCTCCAATCTAAGCCCATTAAAGGAAATCATGAAAGATGCCATTTTCAACCCATTTGACCAATACTGAGCATTAGACTATCTGTGCAGCCTCCACTCCAAGGGCCAGAAGGCAGGGATGGTGCCTGAGTGTCCGCCTCTAGATACGCTCAATTAGACTATCTCTGCTTGGCACAAGGCAAGTGCTCAGGGAAGAAAATTAATAAAGGAAAGAATTAAAATACATAAGCAGATTTGCTTAGAAAAAAAACCAGTGACTTTCCCAATTCAATCTGTTCACCAGGTAGATCAATCTGTTATAAATGCAAAGATGCTTATATTAAAGAGAAATACACCGTGTACTTTGGGCATATAGGAACTATGTATGTGAACACAGTCCACATAGAAGTGTTTTGGAATTAACTGGTTCATTACTATTTTTCAGGCTCGTCAAAATAATCATTCTTCTGAACTCTCTAGAATGTCTTTGTTTTTGTTTTCTTTTTTTCTGGCTTCCCATGGGGATGTTGAGGCATTGCAAAATAGATTTCTACTCTGTAATCTGAATTGAAGCTGTGCTAAGGACTATAAATCAAAACCATTGACTTTAGTAATTGAACAGTAAACTGGGGACAACGTTGTAGATGTTAATGTTTCAATGTGAACATGCATTTCAGATCCATTAAAAAGGGCAAACAGCTTTCTAAAACAGAAACAAAAGTTATTGGGTTTTCTCCATTTTTGTATTTATTCTTCCATTTTCTGAATATATGCCTGAGGTAAAAGGGCAATAAAGATGACAAACACATAGACTGGTTGTGGTCTTGGAGCTCAAATATGGGTATTCTCACTGAAGTCCCCATGGTTCTAGTCCTCCCCTTCCTTCCCCCACCCCCCATAGCAGGATTTTATACCTTTTCATTATTAAACTAAGCAGCCACTGTTTGTCCTTACATACTAAGGCAGATGGTAATTTAAAATTTGCACAAGAGACATCATTCTCTTGGGTTAGAGATGTCTAATACATCACTTCTACAGGATTTTAAAAGCTTATATGAGCAAACATGACCCTTTGCATTATATGGATTAGAAATATCTCTAAGAAGCAAGAACATTCAATCACTCTGGAGTTTGTTTTTGTGAAATTCTGTTTTAAACTGAATACTCACTGGTGCTTATGTTGGCGTGTGGAAAACTACCAGTGTGTTAAACTCACTCTCACATGTAGCTGTGACTGTCTATCTGACCTCAGTTTTATCTGGGCCCTCTGAAATGGAAGGTCTATCATGCAGTCTATTGTATTATTTTTTAAAATTCTAAAAAGGGGTATTTCCTTCTTGAAAATTCATACATTCAAAGGATTTAGGGTAAAACCATGTCTAGGGTTTGGAAAGGGAACAGATTCTAGGACAGTAAAGGTAGTTTAGGACAGCAATAAACAAGATCACATCTATCCACTTTTTTGGGGATGAATGAAATAGGAAGTATAATCTTACTAGCTTTACAAATCACTCAATGTTCATTTTCTTACTTCAATATTATCTCCTTCACATCAGAAAGAGCACAGATACCAGAAAGCATGATTCATGATGTAATAAAATGTCTTTTTCTTAATTTAAAATATTTCCTTTTATAGTATTCCCCTATGAGTTTGTCCTTTATATTTTCTTAAAAATGTTTTCTTTACATTCTGACTTTGATCACACTGGAAATTAATTTTGTATTTTTTTGATTAAAAATGTTCCAGACTATTTTTCTTAAATGGGATTCTGCCTGTGCCATCAGTCGTATAAGAGGAGCATTAGACTTTTGTCTTCATTAACATGTAAGCAAAGCATCAGTCAACTCTTCAGGAAGCCTTGCATTTGAATAGGTGAAAAGTGGGAACAACTGCCTTCTACTCATGTATATGCTGATGTCAAAAAACTCGCTATTAAATACAACTTGTGAATGGTAAAAGTCTGATAATCCAAATATTGGGTAACCTACTTTCCACATTTTTATACTATCTGGGTATTCTAAAGGTGTTTTTTTTTTTTTTACCCCCAATTCCTTGACTATTCTACCTTTGCTTCTGAATCAACACATCTTAAATTATGCATTATCTAATTCATCTAGAAATAGGTGGGGATACTAACGCATGATACCACATTTAACCTCTGAATTTCTTCATGACACGATCCGTCTCCTACAGAGGCAGCCAGTGACCCAGCAAGGTTGTCCTGCCCCCTCACAGGCCCAGCCACAAGCTGCTACCAGGCCTTTACAGTAAGCTGCTTTCCTCAGAGCTAGGGACTCCGGTCACTGGAGGTTTTTGAGATTAATTTGGATCTGGCAAATGTCAGAGGCCAGATTATAGGACTTTTAGGATAAATGGAACCACACCTCTAATTATAATCTACTTATTTGCTGGCTGCTTGCTTGCTTTGGGGCAGTTTTTTTTACTCTCACATAGTGATGAAATGTATTTTGATTCACTCTGGATGGCAAAGACTCTTGCTGAGTATTCACATAGAAGAAGGGAGACAATGGTAGGGCTTCAGGTAGGATTGTTGGGCTTCTACTGTCCATGCGAGGCTGCTGATGGTCACAGTAAAGGATGCTATTTCTTAAAACTGCTTTCATGAACAGCTCAGCCTCTTACTCAAAAGGATTGGTGCTTCTAAATTACAAATTGTACTACAACTACAAGGAGTGATATCACAGTGGATGAAAAAACAGTAATATTTCCATTTAACAAAATTTCCCAAAGTGTGTCCTATGGAACATGAGCTCCTTCGAATGTTACTAAGATTTACTTAAAAAAAAGTTTCTGTGGTCAGATTAACCTGGAAAACACAACCCTAACTGAAATTATATCCGTGGTGTGCTTCTTCCCTTCTGCAGGACATTTAAAGTTCTGTGGAACTCACTTTGGGAGATACCGAGATTCTATTACTCCGGTGGTATGCAGCTAACTAGCTCAAAAGTCTAGATATCCATGATTTAATCTAGAGGCAGTTAAATAGGCCCCAGTGTGGTATCTAACAAGCATGTCATTTCTGAGTCAGGAATGCTGGTGTGATGAGCTAAGGCAATTTGGGGGGCATAATAAGGAAAGATCAGTCTAGAGATGGGTCAAAAGGAGGAGAAAAAATCTGAAATCATTGGAAACTGTTTACTCAGAGTATGTATTACTATACTTTGAAATGTTGCCCTTTCTAACCTTCTGCATTGATTCGGATTTAAGAGTTTGACCTGAAAACAACTTGGGGAGTGGGAGGAAATCAAGGTTTGCCTGGTAAAGAAAAATGTGATCACTGCCTTTCTGAATCCCTTGTGTATTGGCAGATAGCCCGGTGATATAGGTATCCCAATTCAATGGTGTAATCAATCTCCTAAAATTACTTTATGATTGAAACGATGATGTCATCACTCTCATGCAATCCTGTTTGCACAAAATGCACGTGGGTTGACATCGTTCAAGTTGTATGAAATAAGGCCTGTTTTAACTTATCCAGATTGCATATGCCCCTTCACTCTATAAAACACTCTGAAATAAGAGTATTACATAGACAAGATTCAAGAGGTCACTGGTAACCAGTAATGTGTACATATGTGCATGAGAACTACAACTTCAGAGTTGGGCTAATGGGTCACATTAAATAAATGCAGGTCTTGGGAACTGGCTTTGGAATTTTCTATGTAAGTATCATTTATTCCATTGATTAGAGAATTTCAAATACAATGATTTTTTTAAATTTTCCCTTCCTTAACACCTCCCCCCCCCACCCCCCCCCCCCCCAATCCCGATCCATTTTCAGAATGGCCAGTGGAGCAGTAAGTAGCAGAGCAGCGCATGGAGGAGGCCTGGGCTTGGCATCTTGCTGGGGGCTCATGGCATGTGGTCATTCGTTCCCAGCTTCATCTCCAAAGGACTGAAAAACCATCCCAGATTTGGCACCGTGGGAGCTATTGGCAAGGTGAACTCGGGCTGGGGAGTCTGGGCAGCCTCGGCAACAATCCAAAGCTCTGGCAGTGCTGTTTAGGGAGGCTTCACATGCAAACTCCTCAACTCAGTTTCCCTAGTGGCTACATCCAACCTTCCCTGTCCCTAGAAGAAGGGAGCAGCCAGGAGCCACAGGGCACCAGAGGGTGAGTCTGTAGACCCCCAACATCTGGAGGAGGGTCAGAGAGAGAGAGAGCTCCAGGACAGGGAAAGGGAGCAAAATACTCTGATTGTAGTATTTTGTAGACATAGGTATTAACCAAAGTGCTACTATTCTGCCTAGAATTTCTATCTTTTAAAAATCTATATTACAAGCCAAAATGAGAGGAAAAAAGGGAATAGGAAATACACATACTACGTGGTTAAAGTCAGAAATGAATTAATTCTACAAAGCAAAACGTAGAAGATGCCGTGTGAACCTCAGCTAGGGGGACAGTCATGCACTCCTGCCCTCAGCACCACCTACTGAGATGTTCTGCAGCAAACAACACTAACTTACTAATTTAACTTAGTAGCTTTTCTTTTTCATCTTCACCAAAACCATACTATTTTAATTTTGGACAACAACAACAATCATGGCATTTAAAAACATCTTTCCTTGTGATTATGAATTTTGGAGTTAAAAATAAAAAAGGAAAATTGACTGTGTACCATAAAATTAAAGAGCTTATCCTTGAACTTGAGTTGGATGATGGGCTTTGGTACCTTTCTGGAGTTAGAACATCCTAAATCTTCAGGCAAACTTGGGCCACCTGGCCTGATAATCCCACACTGACCACAGACAGTGTGTTCCCCACATTCCCCTCCTGACCCCCACCCCAAATACACACATCCAACTGTTCAGTGCCTCTTAATTAGGCAAAGAGCTCAGTCTACATGGTGGTAGGTATTTTGTACTAGAACATTCTATGGCTAAAAAAATTATTAAGGTTCTAATCCTAATGTTGGAATTCTAAAGTCACAGTTTACGAAAGTAATCAAAGCTCTTAGGACACTGTTATTCATTCTCATTGGAGTAAAAAAAAGGTAAGTGCTGGGAGGAATCGACAGACTGCAGTCCTTGGTGACCACGAGGGACTCTTCATCCTCCCAGGTTCTCTCTGGAACCTGCTTCAGAAAAGCTCCCCAGCTGCGGAAAGTGAATGGGACCTTTGAGAAGCTATAATGACAAATGCCGACTCAGAAAGAACAGAACCAGGTGGACACCCTGGCATTTCAGACACAGGGCTGGGAACGCACGGAAAATCCTGTTTGGCTGCTTGAGCCACCGCCGTCAGGCAAACAGGATGTCTGAGCATTTTCTGTCAATTAACTTATAAAATACTGCGATTGGAAATGTGACTTTGGTAATAGGAAACAGAGAGCAGCAAGCCTGGCCCCAGAATAACTCTGGGATGCCTTACAATATCGGTTTGAGCTTGAATTCCCAACCCGCTTTATGGTCACTGAATGGTTGGCCTGGGGAAGCTATCTGCTTCTCCACAGTCATGGAGAAGCGCATCCCACAATTTACCACAAAACTCCAAAATGTGGGTGGGAACTCTGGCCTGGGTTTCATGAAATACTCATGCAGTTCTGCTGCTTCTCAGAACACTCCTTGAAAGATACTTGAAAGCTACTAGGATAGGAGAAGAGGGGGAGGGCATAAAACTGGCAGCTGGAACTCAATTCAGGGTAGTAGCCTCCCCAACTTTCTCTCCCAATGCAAACAAGCAACTTCCCAAGGGGGCTCTGTGACTTATTCAGCCATTATTCCCCCCGCCCCCTATCTACCTTTAAAGATGGAAGGAATTATGATAACTGTGATTTGCTTTTCTGACTTCCCTTAATAGGTTTCTTGGTGACAAAAGACAAAAAAAATGTGGCTTCCAGTTGTGAAGTTTAACAGCTGCCTATTACATACAGTAAGGTGTAAGCAAAAGGTTAAGGTCATGCAGGATTAGGATAAGCGCACAAAGACTGACACAAAGACCGGCTAGAGGGTACACAAGTCTATATAAGGAATAAAGGGAGGAGGGAAAAGGTTACTTCTGCTGTGTAGCCGCTGCAGTCTCTTCTTCCCTCCATTTCCAAGAGCCGCCACGGAACAGCAAACCACTCCAAATCGGTTTCTGGGCTGCTGCGGAGTGGGAAACCTGGGCGCAGGAGGGTAAAGCCTTCTCAGGGCAGCTCTGCCCTCAGTAAGAGAACTGCCACCCTGATGCGCAGGGGACGCTGGGGCATGTCTCCTGCAGCTCTGGGCGGCCTGCCCTGCCCACTACTCCAAAGTCTGATGCCTGGAGGGCCCTATAAGGGATCTTGAAATCTTAAAAAGAACCTTAAAAGGGAGAACACATGGCACATATGCCATTCATGTCATACATGTGACTCTACGACTAGATATTTGTACATTTTGAACGTTGGATGAAAGAATCGGGAAACATGAAAAAACGATTTTCCAGCCTCTCAACATCGGCCCTCTTTTCATCGTCACTGGATACAGACCTAAGACCACCAGGGAGGGGGCATCCCACGTCTGGGATGGGGGATCCTAACTGTAACTTCCACAGCTTCACGACATTAAAAGAGACCAGTGTGTTGAAAGTCCCTTAGTCTACAGCAGCTGAGCCCCGAAGGGCTCACTGCTCTTCTGTTTTGCTGCTATTCCTGAACTTCACCACCATGACTGTTATGTTGTCAGGGCAGCCTCTGTAAAATGACTGTAAAACTATGCTCTTGGCCCCAAAGTGAGGTTCATCCAAGCGCTCCTTGATGAACCGAACAGCTTCTTCATTGCTGAAAGCATCCCAGAGGCCATCCGATGCCAAGATCATGAACTCGGGCTGGAGCTTGTCCAGGTCGAAGGTCAGGATGTCTGGGTCTGGGATGACCACGTTGAGATTTTTCAGCGGATAATCCCCCAGGGATCGAGACATGGCCAGGATGCCCTGGACCCTCCAGGAGCCATTGAAACTGATGAAACCACCTGGGAAGAGAATGAGCTCATTAGCCTGACCAACAGAAAGCTCACACACCTGGTATATACAGTCTGGGCACGTGTACAGAAGGCCGACCTGTTGCAGGGGACATATCACATGTGCTCCCCTCACCCCACCCTGGCACTGCCAGGAAGGAACAGCACCCCTGCCGCATGGCTTGAGGTTTGACACTCTACCAGTAGATCCTCCTGCCCTCATCCTTGTATCTTAAATGACTTCAAGAAAATATCAATAAGAATAATGAGGGTAGGAGATGTGTGTGGATGAGGGCATCAGTTTTAACTTAACACCTTGACAGCTCAGTGATTGACAGTAGAAAGCTTTGGGGGTGGGGATTTGAGGAGAGTGGGAAAAGGCAGGTGTTTGGGGACCAGAGACAGCGCTGGAATCCATCATTTAGCTTGAGACTGCCTTTGGTTGTGCCTCTATAGTTCTCAAAACAGTACCCCAAATAGGACCAGGATTTAAAAAAAACAAAACCTGTGTATTTTAGCACAGTGTTTCAAGGCTCAGCTTTTGGGTCAGGCTGCTTGAACTCAATTCAGGGTGCCTATTCCTAGCCCATTTCCAGCTATATGTGACTTTGGATGAGAAACTCTATCTCTCTGATCCTCACTTTCCTTGGCTGCAAAATGGGGACAATAATAGTACCTATTCCACTGAGTTCTGAGAAAGGAGTTATTCCATGTACATCACTTAGCACAGTGCCTGAATGTAACATGCACTCAATAGTATATGTTATTATTATTTTTCTTTAAAGTAATTAGAACTTTGTTCATTCACATATTATTTGTCAGGTAGTTATTAAACACATACTCCATGCAAGGCGATTTGCAGACTATAAAGTTGTGCAAAATCCAGTCTTTTCTCTAAAGAACTAGACAGTCTGTCAGGAAAGAAAATCTGCGTGTACCAACAGCTACAAGCACAAAGTAGTATTGTAGCAGGAGAGACAAGCACCCCCAGAAGAGGAGGAAGGAATGATTTGCAGTTGTGATGATCAGGACGGAGTGAGCATAAAGCTGGGCTGGGGATGTCTGAGAACATTTCAGGAAGTGTGGTCTCATGGGCAAGAGCGCCGGCTCTGGGGTCAGACACTCCTGGTCTCAATTCGGGTCTCACCATTCACTAGCCACGCGTCCTTGTGTACACAAGCCTCTTGGAGGCTCCATTTTCTTGGTGGTAAAGTGAGGATGACAGTATCGACCTCATAAGGTAGGGTAAGCGAAAGCGTAGGTCAATTGCTAGGATTGGTTCCCAAAACAGTGATCCTGTGATAGAGGGTTGGTGTCACTGTTGTTGGAGACACCCTCAAGAATGGAGACAGAAAGACCGAGATGATCTGCCCCAACTGGGTGCAGCAAACTGTCACACAAAAGCAGGAGGGGACATACCATAGCAGATGTCCCAAAAGGGAAGGTTGTCTACTGCATTCCCCATCTCCATCCTAATTCCAGAATGTAAGTTTATATCCCCAGCCATTAGTTGTGGAAAAAAAAAAAAAAGAATAAAAAGGGGATTCCCACTCCCTAAAGTATTTACTTATACCAGGTACTGAGCAAGGTGCTTGGAGAAACGGACAGACTATGTTTTTGCCTCAAAGAGCTCCCAGTTGTGAAGGCAAGACAGATAAGAGAACCATACTTTGTAAAAGGTGACCCACGAGATCCACAGAGGATGCTGGGAAAGGAACAAAGACACCTAACCCAGCCTGGGGAGCCTGTGGTACTGTGTGACAGGGAAGGCTTCCGAAAGGACACCCTTAAACTGGGTCTTATAGGACATGTAATTGCTAGCCACTAGACCAGCGGTTCTCAACCTGTGGGTCACGCCCCCTTTGGTGGTTGAACGACCCTTTCACAGGGGTCGCCTAAGACCATTGGAAAACTTATATATAATTACATATTGTTTTTGTGATTAGTCACTATGCTTTAATTATGTTCAATTTGTAACAATGAAATTGGGGGTCACCACGTGAGGAAATGTATTAAAGGGTCGCGGCATTAGGAAGGTTGAGAACCACTGTACTAGAGATTGGGAACGGCATTTGCAAAGGCATATCAGCCATTGCCGGTGTGGCTCAGTTGGTTAAGCATCATCTTATGTACCAAGAGGTCACCAGTTCAATTCCGGGTTGAGAGCTTGATCCCCAGTAGAAGGTGTGTGGAAGGCAGCTGATTGATGTCTCTCTCTCTCTCTCTCTCTCTCTCTCTCTCTCTCGAATCAACAAAAACATATTTAAAACAAAGAAAAAAAGCATGAGGTATCAGAAACACGGATCATTTGGGGAGAGGTTAGTAGTCTGGCATGGCTGGAGGGAAGCAGGATACGGCATGCAGGGGTCCAAAGATGTTAGCCTTTCAATGAGCAAAGGGCTTTTTTGGCCCTTTTGGAATCCTTGGCCATAAAGAAGGGCGAATTCAGTGGCTGTTTCATTTTGCTGGGCAATATTACTAAGTCCAGTCTCAGCTGCTTCAGCAGCAGCCTCCGTGGGGGTCTACTAATTGCAGGTAACTAAACCTCTGATGCCCCAGGGGCTATCCAAGCAAGGCCCCTGTCCACCCAGCGAGACAGCAGACAGGGCTTGGAGGCGTTCACAAGCTCACCCGCTCTCTTGATCCTCTTTCTCTCCTTCAGTTGGTAAGGCTTGTGATCATGAGACAAGGGGATGGCGTTCCCATCCTTGTCACATAGGACCCCCCGGGAGTCACCCACGTTGGCCACCGTGAGGTCTTTATCTGACAGCAGGGCAATCAAGCACGTGGTACCTGAAAAGCAGAAGAGAGAGGCAATGTAGGAGGTCAGCAATGCATGGAGGTGCGGCTGCTTCATGTGGTGACTGGATCCTTCAGTCATTAAATTGCTCCTGCTGGGGGAGAATTCTACTCCAGCCCGGGAATGACAGCTATTCAAGTCAACAACACTGATCAAATCTGACAGTCAATTTTCTTAACCAAGTTACCGTGTCACTGAAACAGGCGAGCATAACATTATCATTTTCCCAAGTCATTTTGTCTCCGCTACTCTTAATTTAAACACACACCACATTTAAAAGGATTAGGAGAGAATAACAATCAGTTTGAAGCTTCAGACAATTGATACATATTTTCTGCTTCTCGCCAGTGCCCAGTTTCTGTGAAGATCCATTTGAAAGTGGGGAGAGTTGGGGGGTGGGGGGTGCTCCTCGGCTGGACAGCCTAGAAGAACCAGTAATTGACAGGTGCCAGCAGCCAGATCCTATGAAGCCATCGGGAGCCGTGAGGGAGCTGCCTATACAAATTTGCCTGCACAGCCTGACAGCAAAGACTAGTGGTCAGAAACAGAGTGTGGTGGGGGCAGGCCATAAAGGTAGAAGCAGAAAAACCTACTGTGATGGCAGAAATGAGGCCTCGGTAGACAGGAGGGAGGGTTTGGAGTGAAGAGATTGAAAACCTGCTTGCCTGGAGCCCACACAAAACACAAAAAGACACGTTCTCTTCAAACCCTTCTTGGAATGAGAATGAATTAAAGCAAATAGAGTTGGACAGTCTGGTCTAATTGGAGCTGCCCTCATTACCTGCCCGATGCCCTGTCCAACTCCTCTCCTTCCTCCTCCCTCCCTTTTGACAATGTCACCGAGTATGCAAATACATGCTGGAATGCACAACCCTTTAAGTGCTTGCTTCAAACTGATAATGCTTTGCTTGTTAAAATTATTCATCAATTAGTCTTCATTAATATTTAACCTCCTCATTAAGAAAGTCATATTCCATAACAGCATGTAAACTGCATCTAAACAGCTCTTTAGTCTTCATGGAATAACACAAAAGACTGAATTCTTAAATAGACATAAAGAATAAATATAGGTTGCTATCAAGAGCAGGGAGAATAATTAGCATATTCAGTTCTTATAGCTCTACTAGAGGCCTGGTACACGACATTTGTGCACGGAGGAGGGGGTGTCCCTCAGCCCAGGCTGTACCCTTTCCAATCTGGGACCCCTTGGGGGATGTCCGACTGCCGGTCATCCCTCTCACAATCCAGGACTGCTGGCTCCTACCCGCTCGCCTGCCTGCCTGCCTGATTGCCCCAAATGCTTCTGCCTACCAGCCTGATCACCCCCTAACTGCTCCCCTGCTGGCCTGATTGATGCCTAACTTCTTCCCTGTCAGCCTGATCGCCCCCCAACTGCCCTCCCCTGCTGGCCCGATTACCCCCAATTGTCCTCCCCTGCCGGCCCAATTGTCCCCAACTGCCCTGTCCTGCAGGCCTGGTCACCCCCCAACTGCCCTCCCCTGCTGGCCTAATCTTGGCCCCAACTGCGCCCCGCCTACTGGCCTATTCACCCCCCAAATGCCCTCCCCTGTCGGCCTGATCACCCATAACTACCCTCCCCTGCTGGCCATCTTGTGGTGACCATCTTGTGATGGTCTACTTGTGGTGGCCATCTTATGGTGGCCATCTTGTGATGATGTTGCAGCGGCCATTTGCGATGACGTTGCATGACACCACTTAGGCTTTTATTATATAGGGTTTGTAATTCCATTCTTAAGCCCATTAACCTCAAACTACCCTGATCAGACATGGAAACACATGAAATGTTGGTCAATTCAGGATTTCTGATATGGAAATCCTTGTGAAAGGAAAGAAGACTAATCTTAGGGATTATCAAAGCCAACTGCAAATATTTTACCTTAAAAAAAAACACACTGTAAGAATGAAAATGGAAACACAGGAACTATTCACACAGTTACAACTCGTTATTCTCAGCTTTTGATAGTAGTTGCATTTTGGTCTTCTAAACCATTCTCACCTTGTCTGCAAGCATCTGATTGGGCTGACTTGCCTAACACAATCAGAGCATAACTTCTCTAAGGCACATTGCCAGAGTTTGAAAGATGAAATAGAAACATTGTTTTACTGAATATTACATGACTTGGGGGCATTCCATCACCATAACTCTTGGAGCTGTCTTTCTAGAAGGCCCTCTTCCCTTCTCACTCCGCGTTCTGTGAGAGAGTACGTTCCTGACCTTCTCTTCCATTGCCATCGAAGTCTGTGCTGCTGCCTGAATGACACTCCTGAGGTCCAAATTCACTGCCTGGTAGGTGTTTCCACTTGCCTTGACTACAGAGGATCCAAGGAAAGGCTCTGGGGTCTGCACGAGAGGGAAGCAGAAGCATCCACCGGCTGAGCTCTGAGCCCCCTCCCCATCCCCATTCCAGCCACAGCAGCTCTCCATCCATCATCTGCTGTGTTGAGCTGCCAGGTAGGATTTTTGTTGTTGTTTTTTTTAAGAGGGGAGAGGTCATTCTTATAGCCAGCGAAGAAAAATGGAAATTTAATCACATATGTGATTAGGAACCACTGAAGGGTTTTAAGCAGGACAGTGATATAGTGAGATTTGTGTTTTAAAGATCAGTTCAATGGCACTGTAAAAGGTAAACTGGAAGCAGGGAGAAGAGGTCAAGTTAATGAGGATCTGAATTGACATAGTACACACAGAAATAGAGGGTAAGGGACAGGTTATTTAATACCAGAAAGGGTAGGTCATAGAGAATGAAGAAAATAAAGGAGAGGAGGAAAGTCTAGGATAAATGTCCTGGGTGCTCCATGGACAAGGACTTAAGGGGGTGTCTACCTGGGGCTTCTGGGAAAGGCTTTCTCTCACACTGGAAGGGACTCAATGCTGAAAATGATTCACTTCTTTGGCCTACCATTGGCTCATGTGTTTCTCCACCATCTTGCAACTTTGAGGGGACATGGCTCAGTTCAAGGCACTGTGCTGAGGAAAGAGCAGAAGTAAAGAGCCCTAGTTCCTGAGACAAAATGAAACTGCTGAGCCAGTGTGGACTCGCCTATTCTTGTTCTGTGAGACATGAAATGTCTTTACTACTTAAGGCTTTTAAGTTGGGTGTTTCTGTTCCTTGTAGTACCTGATGCAGGGGCTTATTGTCCAAGGCGGGCTTATCAATGAGGGATTTAGAGTGTGGCTGTTCAGATTTACTCACGCGTTGGAAATACTTAAGATTCATGGCTGGCCCATTCCTTTGTCAAGAGCACAATCCCATTGTTTCTATGGGTAAATAAGAGCAACCTCATGACGCAGCTTTCTGGAAAGTTCTGCTTTGAGGAAGTGGGGACTGCCTATGCTAACAATAGAATCTGAGCCATGGCCAAAATGGCTGTGTCCCCGACGTGAAATCAGAGTTGCAGGCAGGGCTCAGGATCACTGAAATGTCACTATTTCCTTCTGTGGAAACCTGCCTGAATCCTGGCTGCAGGCCCTAGAATGGCTTAAAGCAAACCAGGACACTTTACTGTAAGCAATTTCTTGTTTGGGCTTTATAATCTTAGCAGGATTAGAAGAGACAGTTTACAATCTAATCTTATTTCACAGGACAAACTACCTTGTTGCTGAGAACACATTAAGACCTTGGGTCACCAAGACCTGAAGCACCAGGAGGGCAAACTTTCTTCGTGAGCTTCCACGCAGAGAAAGCAGCGATGGGGCGCATATATACATGCGAGGAGGCTTAGGTGAGTCTCCAGACTGGGCATGCACAGAAGCCCCCCCTCCCCCCAATGGCTCGTTTTTGGGTCTTCCTCTATAACTTGAGCTGCCTCAACTTCCCGTCATCACATTCTGGAGGGCAGAATGGCAGGAATAACAATTTGTGAGAAAAAGGTCGATTACAAATTAGAATCATCATTTCTTCCATGTGATTTCTGTGTAAACACAAATATCAACCATTGATTTTGACACTGGCTGAACATGAGGCAGTCAATTTGATGACAAATACTATTATTTTAAACCCTAGGGCTATGCAGTTTAATTCTAGACTTAGCTATGCTTGGGCTCTTCTTCGGCACACATACAACTAACAAAATGACTAGAAGAAATAAGAAACAGTGTGTGAATGCCAGAAAGGTCTTTTCACAAATGAGGTATGCTACCCTAACTATAAAAAAAAACAATTTATTTAAGGGGGGAGGTCATAATTCATCCGTAGAATCCGATGGAGTACTCATTTAATTTTCACACTTCACCAGAGTTAAAATATAGATGTGTCATCAGATGCTCTTGACCACCATTTTGAAATTGAAATGTTCTTCAACTTCACATTTCAGCTGCTACAATAATCATGTTTACTTCACACTTGAGTGTGGTCTGGGAATACCCTTCTAACCCTTCCTTTTTCAGTTAAGGAGGAACACGAGAGAGAGTTGCTCCCTATTAAACTGATCGCATGCATTGGGGAGTCTTGAAAACCACAGTAGGCCCTCTTGGTGCAGGAGCCTTTATCTCTACTCCCAGGGCATCCTGAGAACAAGCAGACAAGCTTCTATGATGCTCATTAACATACTTCTCATAACTACTGCTGACATTTAGTTCAGATGAGAGCATGCTAACTGAAATTAATTTATAATTACATAATCGCATTCTGGATTCTAGGTCTAGTATCTCTTAATGGCAAACAAAATTAATTTCATGGTTCTCTGATTCTTCCTATACAAGCCAAAGAAGCACGGACTATATATTTTTTTCATGTCTTCGTGTTATTTGCTGATTCTTCGGTGAGATAGCTCATTTTTCTTCAGGTTTCCAGCAAATTACAGGTAGTATCTCTGTCTCTTTATAAATCTATGGGAGTGGGGTCTAATAAAACTTTGGAAATTGAGTTTTCTTAAAAGAGTTGTTTGCTTTTTCATTAAAGGCCAAGAGAAGAAAGGCCGAGAGAGGAAAGAGAAGAAGGCTGAAAATGAAAGGTACAACCTGATTTATCTG